CTTATCTTCACCTTGTATTTTTATCACCCTTTTGTGAGATTAAATGGACACTCAAAAAGTAATGATAAAATGCTGTGTTACATTTGTTGCATCCACTCTAGATACATGTATCTTATTGTTGTTATAATCATTGTTTTAATAGCATAATAACAATAACAATAATAATTATTATTATTATTATTATGATAATGTATATGTCTGGATTATCAAATTGAATATTGGCATTATATGATACCTAAAATGTGATAGCATAACAGTCTTGGCAATGACTTGGGATTCAACAAGATTGCTACTAGCAATTAAAATACAATTCTACAAAACATTAATACACTAACTGCAACATTTTCGTTCAATTTGTGAGCACAGAAAAAACAACTCCACTTGACGATCTAATCAGTCTATTGAGAAGCAATTGAGACAGAGGTAAATAATTGAGTAGGCTAGACTAAATGTCTGAATACTACAAGGTAGACATGTTTTACAAATCGCTGATTGTTCCTCATTCATCATAAACTCGCACCTTTGTTGACATAATTACACCACAGACTTAATGTATGCCTTCAACGCCATTCATTAATACCATAAATTATTAGAAGGCCTACCCTTGAAAGGTGTTGTGTATGAAACCACCTAAAACGGATGTTAAAGGGGAAGTGCAGTTAAAAACGTGATTTTGCTGTTGTTTTGATGATATTGCCACACTATGAGGTCGAAATAACACTCTGAAATTGTGAAAATTATGATAATGCCCCTTTTGTGTAAGAGCTGTTTGAAAAAAAATTCATGGAATTTCAGCATGTTCATGTGGGATGGAACTTTTGGCCAAATCATAACATCACAATGTGATCTGATTATAATAGACCAATGACTGTTCATCTGGGTAAAGGAATGGCTCTAGACCATCCTATCAACCAATCAGGGATGTGTATGTAAATATCTTCACATTTGTTTCCTAACTCACACATGATCAGACTGAGCATTTCAAGGGCCAAAGGAGACTCAGGGAAATAAATGATAAAAAAATATATTTCTGAGTTATTTTCATTAAATAAACACACACAGTGATTTATTAGACATACAGTGATGATTTGAAAATAAAATTACAAAGACTGCATGGGGGCTTTAATGAAAGTATAACTTTTACCATTACATGAATGGGCATATTGTATACCCAGTAAATAATAATAAATATAAAGCTAAAGCTGCATATCGAATTGTATTTCTCTGGGGAAGCTGGGGCATTGAGCAAAACATTATACTACAACACTACTGGGCCTATGCACCATGATGCAAAGTAGGAAGGAAGTGTAGGCTCTTTGGCCTGAGATATGCAGTAGGTTTATGGTTAGTTGCCAGAAATAGTTCTCACAATTATGCATCTAAAACCTTTCCATATTAACGTTAAGGAATATAGCTTTCGTTATATATTATTATACATTGATGTAATGAAATGTATGTTCCTTTTTATCGGAATAATTGCATGATTCATCTAATAGGCGAACATAGTTGCTTTATAATAGGAAACTCTGTCTTTCAGTATAATAGAACGCGAGTAGTGGGAGATAAGCATTATCAAGTCAGTACATAAAAGGCAATGACACCTAAAGAAGAGAGGGCGATTATGCAATGAAACAGACAAACATTATTGAGATACGACTGAAGATACGGCCATCTTGAAAATCAATAAAGAAATAAAAATATAAAAAAATGACATTTTATTATCATAGCTAGTACTACCACTACTACAAATAATGGACATTATTTTCAAAAGTTATTATTAAATATTATAAGGTTGTTTAGGTAATCCAAATATATCTAGTCATAATAACAACGCCATTAAAGTATAATAAACCTTAAATTATTCCACATGTGTAGGCTAATGAATGACAGATTAACAAGTAAAGTGACAATAAACTATTCGTTTTAAGTTGCCAAATTAGCTTTATAGACTATTTATTGTTGATTGCAAACGGTCTTCCTGGTCAGCCCCTGTCTGAGCCAGGCCGTCCCTGGACAGTGTGAAGATAGAGAGGCTGAGACTGAGCGGCGTCCTGCCACTTTCCCCGTGGTGATTCGTCACAGGTAACTGTCGGAGAGACACACTTCATGTCATAGCATCACAGCGAAAACACCTAATTCGTCAAGTCGGATTGGAACAGAGAGTAAAACCAGGATTATGTATTCTCGCACCTCCCTGACAACTGCCTGCCTGCCTTGGCCTCCCAATGTACAGCCGAGACAGTAGCAACTGTTTACTCCATGTTCCACTATGCATTTTTATATATTATGTCATTTTTAAAAGTATTTAAATAGCCTAGCCCCTAGAACATAGCTGTTCGTGCTATCCCTTTTACGCACGAGGAGCTTCCAATCAATCCATGGCGCATTAAACCAATAGGCATAGTTCTGATATCTATTTTACAGGTATGAAGTTGCTTACACCTCTCTATTGACAACGTTTCTGATATGCTACCTAGGTTTGCCCTTTGCAAAGCAACGAAAAGTGAAAGGAATGCAAAGAACAAGTGAAGGGCAAATAGCTATGGGCTCTGATCTGATAAAATTGGTATTATCGAACTGGGAGTTGGAACACTTATAAATTGTTAAAAATCTAAAGTAAAAGAAGAATAGCCATTGTTCGAGCTCAATTTACAAGAGGAGTCAAACAGAGAATAGATAATGTTGCAATGACTCGTGGCTCTCCTCTCTCTGTGCAACGAAATGGTGACCTACAATTTACCCTGAAACGGGTATCGCCTACAAGTGTTATCCAGGCAAAATGTAAATAGAAAGAAATACCAGTTGAATTCTTCCCAGGTTGACGAACGACGGGCCTATTTGTTAACCCCTGGAAGATACAGAAGACTAGTAAATGAATGATTCAATTGACACCTCGTCACTTTTGATCATTTCACTGAGCCAATGTATATTCCAACTGAATGAATCATCACCAGTTCAAAGTAAATCCTCTCTGCAACAACAGATGCGTGCTGAGAGTTTGTGCTTCTTTGAGGCTGAACCCATTTAATCCCAAATGAAGGCGTCTCACTTAAATAAACTAATTAGTGAATGGTCTGCCCTAACATAACTCCGAAAAGGAGAATAAACAAACAAATAAACAAAACAAGCCAATGTTAAAATATAGCTATATTTTCCTATAGGCTACTTCCCCGGGTTTGGATTTTAGGGCAATTTCTAATAATAATAATGTATATCAAACAATGTTAGTTATATTGTGCAGCTGATAAGCTATTCAATATCTCACTTTGCAAATTGTTTCAAATTTTTCTAAATAATATTATTTTTGTTAAAAAAAAATTGATAGTTCTAACATCTTGCATTATTCCAATTTATTGCTGGAACAGATAACCTACTTGTAAACACATTCTGAATAAGATATGTTAGGCTACTTAGATTTATGACGACAACTATCATGATTAAAATTAACCTATCAGAGGCTCACAAATTATAGTAGGACTCTCATTCTACATTAGAACAATTAACTATTTTTTACACAATATCCTTTGAAAACAGGTTTGATGTCAATGATGAAAAATTCCCCCTTTTTGCTCTAAATAAAACGAACTTATTATTTTATTTATTTTACCTTTATTTAACTAGGCAAGTCTGTTAAGAACAAATTATGATTTACAATGACGGCCTACACCGGCCAAACCCGGACGAAGGGTCATTATGATAGTTATTTCAATACGTTGTGAGTAAACCCAAATGCACTGCCAAAACGAGCTTTCTATGAATATTTCCCTGAATATACTGTTAGAATATTTCGATTTTATTTAAACAAAAAAAGTCCATATACTACTTTAAAACGTCAAATTGATTGCATTTACAGTTTTAGACATGATCAAATATGTCAAAGGCTATAGCACCCCCATCGAGTTGATCTGTTTGCTCAACTGAAATCCAATCAGAGAACGCCCTCAGATTTCAACTACAGCCTCGAGAAGCGCCTCCTCTCTAAAAACCTCATCACGAGCGCAGTAACACTTTCATTCTTATCTTCCCCGAGACCAGCTACGACCCACACATTTTTGGAAACTTCAAGGAGCGACCGATGGCACAGAACTAGAAGGTACGTGGTGAATATTCGCTCCTCTCCTCTTCTGTTTTCTATTTTTCAGTCCAGTCTTCGTAAAACATCTGGTAAAACATCTGGTTTCCGTGCTCGTGCTCCTGGGTGCCAGCTGCGCAGAACCTAAATCATTTGGATTATTGTTTTGTCACCGTTACCGTGCCTATTGGGCCTTATCTGTTATGCGTCTTATCAAGCGGTTATCTCTTTGCCCCAAAGACAAATTGCGTTTTGTTTCCTATCTGTAACGGTGTGTGTTTTTTTGTAATTATGAAAGGCTAGATCTCGAGAGGGGAGGACAGGGTTTTGACACGGATGGATTCAACTCCTCCCGTCAGAGCGCGCAATGTGGTTACATTGCTAATGGATTAATCCCTTAGATGCTATTACCAAAAATGTCTTATCTATAAGTCCATAACCATCATATCGTTTTCATAGAGAGGATCGAGTCTTGTGTGTTAAGTAGCCTTTAGCCTTTGTATCGTGTTCTCAAAATTACGACAACACGTTTCAAAATGAAACCAAGCCCCGCATCAAGGGCAATGTTAGGTTTGCGTTGCGTAGTTTCCCAGAGGGTAAGCTATGGAATTGATATGATATTATTATCATGGGAAGGACATATTTCTTGCAAATGAATAGTTTCGCTTGAAAGGGAACACCATGGTTTATGTATATTATGTCATTAAAATGTAGGCTAACTCTTTGGCACAAATCTCTTGGAAGAATAGCTGAGATCGTAATAAGATTTGATTGCCTCGCCTTACAGATCCTTTATGATACCAGATGTAGTTACACTGGAATTCTATTTGCATGAAGCCCAGGGGCCTGTTTTAAGTTAACAATTTACAGTATGATAGGCCCTTTTAGCCTACTTGATATTGATGACAATGTCTTCTCTCTCATTCCCAGGGCAGACAACACCCTCACGATTTTCTAGTCCTACTGTGTATGGAAAGTGATCCTGGATGGACCTGGGCGAAAACATCTGGTCCATGGTCAAGCGAGAAGTGTCCAGCAGGCCAGGGTCACCGGCTGAACAGAGCTACTTACACGGCGGGCAGGGCAGGAGGGACGGCAACGCGCACGACTCGGAGGGGCTCAGGTCACCGCTGCCAAGCGATCAACTTGACACAGTGGGACACCGGCGCGCCGAGGGGCCAAGTAGATCATCTCTACACTCCTACGTTCAGTTCGGACACCATCACAGCAACACTGAGGACATCACTCTGTTCACAGATTTAGACCAGGGCAACAAACTCATCATCTCCAGTGGAGCGCACCCGCACCACAAGGGGGGCCTTATCGTTGACCCCAGCGACATGTATCAAACACTAGCCATCGCGGCGGCCCACCAGAGCCAGGCGGGGTATGACTCGCCCTCTGGGGGCTATATGCACTCCAACCCCAACTCTCCAGTGTATGTACCGAGCTCACGGGTGGGACCCATGATACCCAGCCTTCCTTATTTGCAAGCCAGTGGATCGTCTCAGCCCAGCCATGCGGTCACCAGCCACTCAGTCTGGTCGCAGTCTACTCCGGAGAGTCCCTCCTACAGCACCGGGAGTCCTCATACCTCCAACCGTTTCCACTACCCTCCAAGCCCGCCCATGAACAACGGGGTGCCCAGGGATAACGGCTACAGTAATCCGCTGAATGTGACCAGCCGAGACCAGTATGGCCTCTCGCGCCCCCTCAGTGGCTCCTACACCAGCCCCTACTCCCCGTATGTTGGACCACAGCTATCCCAGTTGTCCTCGCCTTGGTCTGGAGGACCATTTGATAACACCATGCTGCACACTTTGCAAAGCAGAGGTGCGCCCTTGACGATTCGAGGACCTAACGGAGGTAGGGCTTCTATTCCAAATATTATCGATGAAAGATGATTAATAATATGGACTTCAATTAGCCTATATGACAACTTTATTTTATATGTGCTGATATTTGTATCTATTGAACAACTGTTTGACGCATGTACGATAATTAAAATAACCATTTAAAAACGTTTAAAAGCAAGGAGGGCTTGGGTGTACATTTGATGATCATTTACGATGACAACAGTTTAGTAGACCTAATGGCCCGAATAAGTTCACATTCAAGTGAGTTAAGGAGATTGTTATCACAGGTAAAATAGGTCTAAATTTTTATAGTAATGGTAAGGAATGTTAAATTGCTTCCTTTTAAGAATAGCACATTAATTAGGTTAGATATTATAACTAGGCTATTATCAATTCATTTGTGGCATGAATTGAAGATTAGGCATATCCCTGATATCGAATATTTTATAACGACTTCTAGGCCTATCATATTTTGACATTTTAATTTATGTAAATAAAATAGATTTTTGATTACACCCTCTGACTGCACATAGAAAACTAGTAGGCTATCGAAACATTTGGAGTTTCTAAATGTAACCCAATACGGTAGACATAAATAGCTCAAATAGAGTCAAAAGAGCAGTCTCCTTGTGTATTGAATGTATAGGCCTAATATCACATTCATAGGCCTAGAATAGACCTCATTCGGAAAATAATTCTGAATTATCATCAAAGGATCCAACACATTTTCAATAGACAATCACATATTTGAAGGTATAGACAGGTGCTCAATTAAGCCTACGAAAAATCACGGCTCTTTTATGCCCAAGCACCTCTCTGAAGTGTCATGTAAGTGATTGTTGTATTGCCTGTCTGTTTTTCCCGCAGATATTCTCGATGACCTGGGGGAGAGCAGGGAATGCGTCAACTGCGGCTCCATCTCCACGCCGCTCTGGAGACGCGATGGCACGGGCCACTTTCTCTGCAACGCCTGCGGCCTGTACAGCAAAATGAATGGACTCAGCCGGCCATTAATTAAACCACAGAAGCGGATGGTAAGCAGCACATGCTCAGGGACTACTTAGTCACTAAATTTCCTGTCGATTTATTTAAAACAATGGCTTAAGGTTATCGCCCAAGATCTCTATATACTTCCTAAATAATAGGGATTTTATTTGACCAAAAATTCACTAAAATAGAAGACCATTTTATTGTACCCTCGGTTCGGTCAGCATTCATATATTAACAATATCATTCTGGCTGTCATATAAGTAATTACATTTCTTGACCCTGATTAAATTACCTATGACAGCCAGAATTATCTTGTTAATATGGTCCTCTGTAGCTCAGCTGGTAGAGCACGGCGCTTGTAACGCTAAGGTAGTGGGTTCAATCCCCGGGACCACCCATACACAAAAAAAAATGTATGCACGCATGACTGTAAGTCGCTTTGGATAAAAGCGTCTGCTAAATGGCATATTATTTATTATTAATAATATATGAATGCTGGCCGAACGGAGGGTACAATAAAAATGGTCTTCCATTTTAGTGAATTATTGGTCAAAGAAAATCCCCATTATTTAGGAAGTATATAGAGATCTTAGGCGATAACCTTAAGCCATTGGCTACGTGAGGAAAAATGTAATGTTCAGACACATTTTCCTGGCGCAATTACGCAGTTATTAGGCTACGCACACGAACAAACGTGTGATGCCTTGATTCCACAAACTCTCTGCCAATGAAATTCATGGAAATAAGCCGAACTTAACTGTCTGTTACTGTTAATGGAATACATGAATACGACCAATATTATTGTTAGGAAATTAGTGCAGATAACATAAATATAGTCATAAGAGAGGAGAATCCGTGCCCTTCAAATACAAGGATTAATTATAAGTGATTGGATCACAGCCAAAGATTCCATTAGTCACGTAGCCTAGTCTCGACCTGAGACATCTCTGCATCTCACTTTTATAGCTCACCGTTGCTTAATCATAGCTTCATATCTTTATGTACCAGTGTGTTTATCGTTGTTTATGTATTGCCTTTCCCCAGTCATCATCCCGGCGAATCGGCCTCTCCTGTGCCAACTGTCAGACGAGCACAACCACCTTGTGGCGCAGAAACGCAGAGGGAGAACCAGTGTGCAACGCATGTGGGCTCTACACAAAATTACATGGAGTAAGACACAATCTTAACATTATGTCACAAGTTTATGGAACGCCGTTTGGGTCTTTGCTTGTCAAAAAAGATACAAATAACACTATTTGACGCGTTAAATAACACAATTCTATTATAGAATGTTGTGTGTCGCTGAATTTGCAAGTGCAAGGCAAACGCCACCACTACTATCAGTAGCACTGTAAAAACTGTAAAAAAATAATAAAAGTCTGCAAACAAGCACATACCGGCCACGAACGATGTGTTTACAATACCGCGTTGGTAATTGTAAACACAATTACCAACGCGGCAGAGCCGCCGCCGGCCGCGACCGGGAGACTCATGGGCGGCGCACAATTGGCCCAGCGTCGTCCAGGGTAGGGGAGGGAATGGCCGGCAGGGATGTAGCTCAGTTGATAGAGCATGGCGTTTGCAACGCCAGGGTTGTGGGTTCGATTCCCACGGGGGGCCAGAATAAAAAAAATATATATATGTATTCACTAACTGTAAGTCGCTCTGGATAAGAGCGTCTGCTAAATGACTAAAATGTAAAAATGTAATGTAATGTAAATGTAATAAGGCATTATTTGTTCGACCGCAACTTCTGGGGTAGCTAGCTAGCTAGCTTTAGCTTGGTACCTAGCTAGCACCAATGCAACCAGGTTGAAAACAATGACCAGTAGAAACTGCAGTCATTTCCAATATTCTTAGCAATGATTTAGGAATCCTTGTGAGTAAGTATTAGCTAGGTAGCCGTTTGTTGTTCGCCTATTGAAATTGAACTTCAGTTCATGAAAATAAATAGCTAGCCAGCTACTTAACCCTGTTGCCCAAAGCCAACGTTATAAGCAGCCAGCTAGCTTCCTGACCGGGGTAATGTGTCGTGAAGCTAGCCACAATAAGAATTAGCCACAATAGTGGAATTTGGGTGTTGCCTTCAAAATAAAAGTACCTATTTGAAAGTGATGCAGAAGGTTACAATTGGTGGAATCATGCCATATTTAAACTAGATAATGTTAAACAAGGTTGGAATGTGGAGCAATTAAATGGGGTATCAGTCTACTCTGTGACACCCACAGAACACAACTGTGAAGAGTTTACGCAAATATTAGCGTTGTAGCTCTTATCGCGGTACTGTGACTGTGTGACCTCCCCAGTCAGCCTATTGTGCGTATTGACATTCATATTGCACTGTACAGCTTTACCTAAGGATTGGGGATCAATGAAATGGGGTATCAGTCTACTCAGTACCCAATAGCTTTTTTCCCAACGTCCTCCTCATAGTTATCAGACTCCAAAACATCCAGGTTGTATTGTTTTTCATCTGGAATTGTGTTCAATACACATAGTAGGTTGACAAAAAATGTGTCTCAATTCACAGTTGTTTCAGAGTCCCGCAATAAGAGCTACGACGCTAATGTTCTCTGGGTGTCACTGAGTAGACTTGATACCCCATGTCATTGATCCACTATTCATAGGTAAGGCTGTACAGTGAAATAAGTATGTCCCCAATGCAATTCTACAGTCTAATAATAATATAATAATATGCCATTTAGCAGACGCTTTTATCCAAAGCGACTTACAGTCATGCATGCATACATTTTCGTGTATGGGTGGTCCCGGGGATCGAACCCACTACCTTGGCGTTACAAGCGCCGTGCTCTACCAGCTGAGCTACAGAGGACCACATCTACAGAGTCTACTACATCAAGTGTGATTTCAACAGATTTTTGTCAAATTAACCAATTATTGTCTTTTGTAGATTTTATATAACAACATTCCAACTTTGTTTAGCATGATCTATTCAATTATGGCATAATTCTACTATTTGTATTCATTTGCGTCACTGTCAATGACATACGTTTATTTTGAAGGCTAACCGCAAAATCCACTATCGTGGCTAATCCTTATTGTGGTTAGCTTCACATAGATGGGTCCGACCACCATTAATCAAATAAGAACTGTCTCATAAATTAGGGTTATTTTAGATGATGACACCTAGCTAGATATTTAGCTAGCTAACTATAGCTACTGAAACAGATTATGTAGTTTTGTTATGTTTTTGGGGAAGAGCATTGTTTGCATCCATCAGCTAGCTAGCTTTTTTAATGACCAGCACTGTATGTGCGCGAGACAAAACTTTCCCAGCATCATAGCATACGTGTCGATGAATCGTTGTGACATATGAAATACGAGTGATAGTGTAATAACTACGTAAAAAAATTATGAACACGTTAAATTGCCCTGCGTAATTGTCCACTGAATATCGAGAGCAATATTAAACACAAGCAGTTTATTCAGTGTGCCCAATTAATTATAGTAGTTGTTAATGAAGTATAGATTTAAAGGACAATTTACATGTTTTTCGACATTGACAAAACGTTTAGCCAAATAACAAGACAGAGAACGCCGCCGAACAATTTCATGACAAAGATTCATGTATTCTTTATTTTTGCAGGTACCTCGGCCGCTCGCCATGAAGAAAGAGGGAATTCAGACGAGGAAAAGAAAACCTAAAACTTTGAACAAAACCAAGGGGTCCTCTGGTAAGCAACCTCTGTTTTAACACCTCATGACACACAGTATATCTCTATCTCTCTCTCTCTCTCTCTCTCGTGTTATTGGGTCCTCTTTATAATTAATTTATATAATTTTACCACAGGAAATAGTAATTCAGTCGCCATGACTCCGACGTCCACGTCTTCTTCCAACTCTGAAGACTCGAAGAACAGCTCTCCGAACACGCAGGTGCCAGGGGTAAGAAGATGATTTTAATCATATTCAGGTGTGGGATAGGCGGGCCCCGTATGTTGTAAAAACTGACTCGAGGCCGTTTGAAACTGTTGTCCCATGCAGGCCAACTGACACCTGTCTTGTGTAACAAATGATGCACGGAAATTCTTCGTCCAATTCTCAGTTAGCGTCAAATATAGGTCCACGGTTTTGGTCAAATAGAGGGACGTTGCCTTTCAAACGAAAACATATCTAAAACGTTTTTGAAGAGGCTTTATCGTTTTATTTATTGCACTAATGTATTATTTTGATTGGATATTGTTGACAAATATAGGACATACAGGCAGGCTAATAATAAACCTTAATCTGATATGTTCATAATAGCAACAATATTGGCCTAATAGTATTGGATTCATAAGTATTGAGTCATACAGTATGTGGGATGTAATCTACTGTATCTGGTGTCATCAGACGTATTTAAAGGCCTCTACTGGGTTCTGGGAGGTGGTCTGCATTTTTCAGAGATGATGCTCTTTGGAATTGTGTTGTAAAACATTGTAGTCTCTGATTTATTCCATATAAGACACTATTAAAGGCCTACTTCCAACAACTACATTTAGTTAATTAAAGGCCAGTAGAGGCCTTTAAATACCTCTGATGACACCAGATACAGTAGATTACATCCCACATACTGTATGACTCAATACTTATGAATCCAATACTATTAGGCCAATATTATTGCTATTATAAACATATCAGATTAAGGGGGCGGCAGGTTGCTTAGTGGTTAAAAGCGTTGTGCCAGTAACCGAGAGGTCGCTGGTTCAAATCCCCGAGCCGACTAGGTGAAAAATCTGTCGATGCAAGGCACGTAACCCTAATTGCTCCTGTAAATCGCTCTGGATAAGAGCTAAATGACTAAAATGTAAATGTAAAATGTTATATCACTTGATAAATGCTCTATAATAATGAGAACATCCACCTTATATACCCATCTTAGCAGTTACAGATTAAGCTTTATCGTTGATAAGCCCTGGCTGTGACTATAGAAAACCTTTGGATAATAGTAATTTCTCCTGAATCTGTGACTAACATTTCTCCGTCCTATTCCAGGTTCAGTCCTCTGTACTGAGTGGCCCAGCGGAGGGCTCAGCTGGCTCTGGTGGCTCTGCCGTGGTCAAGTACCCAGACCAGGACGGCCTCTACACCCGTGTGGGCCTCACCCAGTCTGCAGACGTAGCCGGCTCCGTCAGGGGGGAGCCCTGGTGCCCTATGGCCTTGGCCTGAGTCACCGAGCTGGGGGATGGAACCCACTGCACTAGCCTCTCTCTCTCGCTCTGGATGTCCTGCTGCTGAGTGGTGGAAGTATTCAGTGCCTCGATGGTTGTGGGCCTGTTTCCTACTTCCCAGCTAACAACTGTTGGACAGAGACAGACCTTTCGCCCCTTCACATCCCTGCAATCTTGAAATGTCTGTGGAATATTTGGGATTGATTTCCAGAATGATATGGGAAAACCTTAGTGCCTTAACACAAAGGGAAATATGTGAGAGGCCAGTTGATGCATTCTTGTTAGTCTCCAGTTTAGATGCTTTCTGGACCGACCTGCTGTGTACTCAATATCTCTCTCTCTCAGCCATGGAGGTGGATCAAATGTTCTTTGTTGTCTGAAATGAAGAAACCTTTACATAATGCTATGGATTCCCCCACTCAAGACAAAAGCAGTTAATTGGATATTAGTGCTTGATAAAAGCACTATCCATACAAAGGACATTTTGATAATATTTTTTTTTTGCAACTGGAATCAAGCTATCAAGTTACCAAGACAACCTTCCTGAATCAAGAGAAAGTATTTATTAATCTTCCATTGTAGAAAATATGACTATGATTGTTAAATAAAGATATGGATATAGAGTAGAACTGAAAGAAAAACATTTCTTATGTCTTCATTTTAAATATGATTTTTCATTTCTTTCTCTCTTGTTGAGTTCGTAGTTGTTAGTTATAGCAAACATGTTTTTCCACTGATAGCTCTTACTGTAGGCCTATCTGACTGAAACTCTTATGGTTTTAAACAGGGTATCAAAGACTGTGACATCCTATGTCAGTCCATTTTATTTTTAAATTATTTACTCAATTCTTAAATAATCAAATCCTACAGATGAAATTAAAATACTGTTAATTTATGGTACTATTTTTTTTAAAGAAATTGGTAGAAGCTGTTTTTTCTAAGGTGAGGATAAAAAATAGAGAACATGTTCGCAAACTTTTTGACACAGCTAGCTAAAACGGTTTGAACAAATGGCACCCATAATCATTTTATAGATGCATCTTTTTGTTACAATACAAAACTGTAAAAGAGGACTGCTGCAGTATTCTCTGGTTGCAACAAAGACTACCTAACTGATATAAACTGTATACATTTACTGTTGCATACATGCAAGTGATTTTCCTGATAAAATTTGACAGAAATACAATGAAAAGGCTAAATGGCACTGAGGTCAACATATATTAATTTAATGTCACAATATGGAGAAATAGAGGTGGAATTAATAAATTGCCCTCAGTTGACCTCCTCTTTTTCAGTTGATAAAAGAGGAATCTTACAGATGCAGGATCTTAATTTGAGCCAGTTTGCCACAGCAGGGAAGTAATCCTGCAGCAATAGGAAATGTGGATTATAATTAATGGACATTTTTGTAGCGGTTTATACATTTTTCGTTAGGGAAAATCATGTCTGAAATGTAAAAGTGGAAATTACAAACTTTAGAATACTGTTTAAAACTCAAATACACTACAAGTTTGCATTTCCTGCTTTGCAGAAAATTCTCAGCAACAAAAGAGTGATCAAATGAAGATCCTACATCTGTACAACCTGTTGTCATAAAACAACATTTGTCAATTTGTGAAATGTCACACATTGGCTCCATGGTGATGAAACTGTAGTTTGAGATGTATTTGAAATGTATGGAGAATAATCTGAAAAGAGTGAAGTATGCCAGTTATGATTCAGTGATGTGAAAAAGTATGTTATGTATGTAGCTGGAAAACAACCTTTCACAGGTTTCAAGACATAATAACCTTATATGACAAATCACTGTTGATTTTGGTCTGATACAATTTGCCCTTGTATTTTTACTCAAAAGGTCTACAGTACATTTTCCTGACTTTCAACGCTCTAAGTAGAATTATGACTTTCCCATTCATTACACAGATCATACTGTACTTCTCCCTCTCCTCCAGTAGGGGTGTGAACGGTGCCTTGCTCTGCAGAACTCTAAGTAGATCCATTTTGAGGCCAGACAAATTCCTCTAGCTCCCTGGGAAATGTCCATTTCAGTGGAATGAATCTGATGAGTAGGTCATTGTGAAACTGCCGTTTAAACTGCATTTCAGTTTCACCATCAGGGTTCTTCAGCTGAAACAGGGCCTGGTAATTGTTTTCTTTTCTGGACTTATTTATTTTTTTGAAATATCATGTTTATTAATAGCATTGTTTTCCCTATTTTTCTGTTTGGATATTTGTATTTCTTTGGTTGGTTGTTTTATTCCTGATACAGTTTTTAATGATCTTATTTAAATCTCTGAAATAAATTGTTCTGATGATATCAATGTGAATTTGGAATAATTGCCCCTGTCTTAGAATATTTGAAGGAAATCAACACACTGGGGTTGTCTTTGTGTCATTGTATCACCTTGTTGGTAGTGTATACTGTGCCAGGGTTAGCAGCAAATGGAATTTGAAGGGTTTGAGCGCCATCTTCATGTGCTGTAAAGGTACATATAACCATTTTGAAGTTTTAAAGATAAATATGTTATGATAAGCTGTTGGATAGACAGTAGAAATGGATCCCTGAGGGATTTGAATCTCCAGACAGTTTTTCTAGTTGTTTTCTCATTCTGTTTTAAAGTTAGCCATTCCTCTTGCACACAACAACAGTTTATTATGACTTTTCCTTTATATGCACTCAATGTGTGTTTAAACAAAGCTTACCCTTTTACCCAGCACAGAGTGCCTGTCACTGTGTGAAGTATATTTAAGTGAATATAGCCTGGAAAAGATACCATTGGTAGACAGCAACATTTTAGAGATGGCTAGATTTATGCCTGAGCTTTAGGTTATCTGGCTGCACTTTGAGATATTGATGTTGGAGAGTTTATGAGTGTCAGTGTAGCTATGTGCAAGACTTTCTCTGTACTGCACATCAACCAGGTACACCGTTTGGAGACTTTGTTGGTTATCAACATTGTCATTTCAATGTTATTACAATAAAATATCAGTTGGTTTGACCTATGTGTCCCCTTGCATGATACTCGCTTTGAGCAGACCAGTGTAGATTTTTTACAATGATAATCCATTAGTTTGATTATGTCACCAACTTTACACCGCTTGTATTTTATACCCAAGGAGTTGGCGTGTCTGCAGGCTTCATTTCCCCCCAGTCTTTGTTTAAAGTGTTGTTGTTAAGCATCATTCATGTTAACAGAGACGACCTCACACAAACATTAAGATAGACTCTGCTGCAACCGAGACTAATTATGTAAATCAAACCAAGAGTGAAACCTAAAATAAGAACCAACATTTGTATAGGTCTGTCAATTTATGAAGTGGTCCCAGGCTGGTAATATCTACAAGGTATCCATGGTACTTTGAGGGAGAATTCACAACACATTACATCACTGAGGTCCTCCTCCCATTCGTTCCGCTGTCTGAATTCATATGCATAATAATAATATATAATGGGTGCTGTTTCACACATGTACAAGCATGTATTATACCCATGTGTGAAATGGAAATGTGTTTTTTGCATATCCCAACTCTCCCTGAGACACCCTCGGAGAGTGGGGTCACCGCCAGGGTCTGCCATTATCAATTATGGTTAAGTGCTTTGCTCAAGGGCACATCAACAGATTTGTCACCTTGTCGGCTCGGGGATTAAAACTAGCGACCTTTCGGTTACTGGTCCACCGCTCTTACCGTTAAGTTAAGGTTGGGTGGTATTCATGTGCATGACAACATTCACTCTACGTTATTTCACCATAAATGATCTGTAGCTGAGAAGATCAGTAGGAAAAACTGACAAGTGATACAAAGCAAAGCCTCAAAATTATTTTAGAAGTTTGGTGAATGATGCAATAGGCTGATGTATTTGACACTTAGCAGATACTATAGAGTAACAGAACCTTATCTGTGTTGAACGTGCTGTTCTAAATTGGCAGAGACAGAAAGAGAGAGAGAGATACATATAGGGAGAGAGAGGCAGAGATAGCAAGAGAGCGACACAGACAAACAGCGACTGACGCCTAAAGCTGCTTTATTTAGACAGTGAGTAAGAGAGACAGTGTCACCCTGGAGGGCAGCGCTGCTGAGTTGAAAGTCCTTTGGTGGGAGGGCTGGGGCCAAGGTAAACAGTCAGCAGCACAACAGAGCAGAGCTACATTGGGACATAGAGGCTGCAGGCCTGGGTCATCGTCATTAGGGTACACCGTAGCAAACAGTTTTTCAACAAGCGGTTCTTATTGGACAAATCCAGGTAATTTGTCCCTGTCTTAGTCCGTTTTCTTTCATTTAGTGCCTAATGAATATGACCCCAGCCAGGCCCCAGGCCATGGGGCTGTTTGGGTAGGACTGGGTAGGACAGCACAGTGACTCCCCCAGGAGTTGCCCGTTGATCTTTCCACAGACAGGGTTTTCAAAGGGGAGCTCCCTTCGCTTGGCTCTGCCCTGCCCTGGCCTGGCCTGCCTGGCCCTGTCTGCCTCCGGAAGAGATGGAATCTCTGACTCAGCCCTTTTGGGTTTCCTCAACAGACCCACCAAGAGAGAGAGAGAGAGACAGACAGAGAGAGAAAGACAGACAGAGAAAGGGAGAGAGAATTGAATTGAGAGAGAAAGAGAGAGAGATAATTTAATTTAATTGAATTGAGAGAGAGAGAGCGAGCGAGGGGCATAATTAGAAAATATTAAAAACATTCTGCCTAGTGGTGTTTTGTTGAGTATTTGATACTTCTCATATTCAATGTCATAGCATTCACCACTCTCTCAAGGTATTTGGATCTTTTCAACACTGTTTCAGTGCTGGGAATAACAGTAATAATACAAACAAAACACATAATAAAATCCCTGGAAATACAGTTCCTCTCCATCACCAGTCATTAGTCATACACTCTTACTGACTTACTCACAGGAAGCTGGGACCATACATCAAAGCCAACAATATGGTCTGAAGTCATTAGTATAAAGTTCTCCATATACAATTGTTATTCATCATCCAATCATTTCGCTTGATATTGGAGAAATGCTCCCATTGCATATGGATGACAATAAGTCATGAGATTCACTCTAATTCAAATTCTCTTATCATAGATAGGGATTCTTTATCATATACTTTTTGGAGAGAGATAGCTATACACTATTACTGAGTGTGAGTTGAGTGAAGCTTTTTACTTGACCATAACAGTTTGTTGACAATGACAGTAGAAGCATGAATAACAGAGAGAGGAAAGATGCCAGCGACCCTAGCCCGCCTGACAGTGTTTTCTCTTTTCTGTCTATCTGTTGTTGTTTTTTTCACTCTTTGACTGTGAGGAATGTGAGGAAGTAGTAGGAACCAGTCTTAATGGGAGGAGATGTAGTCGGAGGCTGAGAATGGAGGACGGGCAAGAGAGCAAGCCCTTTCTGCCAGGAGAGAGGAAGAGTGAGGATCAGTCATAACTGACAACCGGGACACCCCTGACCCTGGATACAATGATAGGTGGAAGTGACTCTGAGACTTCCATGAGTATTACAATGCTGTAGTTCTAAAACAGTTGTTTACATATAACATGCTCAAATTGATGCAGTAATTACAAATACTGTATGGGCCAATATGACCACTATATACTGTATATGATGGTTAGGCTTAGGGTTACGGTTGGCTCCACATACCGGCTCAACCCTAATCCTATTCTTAACCCTAACACTAGAATGGTATTCAAATATCCTTACAGCTGTAAAGCTAACTGCAACCCTAACTCTAACCCTAACCCTAATCCTTACCCTAACCCTAGACTCATGTCACAATGCTGGCTCAACCCTAACCCTAACCTCAACCCTATCCTCAAACCTAACCCTAAAGTATTAGTAAATTAGTAGTATCCTCTTTCAGTTATTCCACCTGTACCTGATTATTTTATCATAAATAAAATCTATTGTGCTGATATACTGTAACACTGAAGGTTAGAGCACCTAAATATAACATGCTTTATTATTGTGTGCTAAGTGCAGCACAGTAGACTAGAAGGTATTTATTTGGACTATCCCTTGCTGCAATAAGCAGGTAAAAGGTCTGTTCTGTTTGAGAACTCAGAGCACAACAATAGGATCTAAAGATTAACTCCTACTTCTAGCAGAGAAGAGATTGGTCATGTTTACCAAGTGTTTGTCCAACTCCAACCCTTTTGTTCTCTCACCAGGTTCCCAAAGAAACTTGTCAATACTGATCTGACATTGCACAGTTGACCACATCAGGTCATTGTGAAGGGTACTTTACTTTCTGGACACAACACATGTTTTTAAATGTAATGAATATGTGATTCAGCTATCCCAACTACTTCTAATGAACATTACGTAAAAAAAAAAAAAATTGCGTATGGGCAGATTATGAACCTACCGTTATTTAATTTGCATGTAAAGGGTTTTCCTCCTTTTCAGGCAGTT